GCGCCATAAATCAAATCACACAGATGTTGACACCCACTTGTTTGACCGTAGAAACTGACCTTGAATCAAACTTAATGACTTGTCTCCATGTTCGTTCCACACCACTTTGTGAACAATGAGGTCTAGTCGCTATAAGTGAAACAAACAAGTCTGTTGCCTCGAACTTCTAAGGTTTAGTGGAACTTATATTGCTTGTAACACCCGCTTTTTTGAAGACGTCGACGGTAAAGCATTCGCCATAGCACTACAGCGATGACAAAAGCTGCTTGCGACACAAAAACTAGATTCAATTTTTTTTGATCCAAAAACCGCACGCAGCAAGCTAGATGTGAGCAAGCGTATAAACTCTCACTCTCACATCTGAATTGGCACACTATTTTCAGTTCGCTTTTCAATTCGTTGCTGCTGTTCGCTACTTTTGATATAAAGTGTGTGTTTTCAATTAATTTACTCCTTACAAATGAGTTCTACACATGGTACATATAAGTGACGTAGATCTAGTTTTTAAGACGAGAATGACCACCGCTGACACTCCCGGACTCCACGTCGAACGACATTGCCATACAACACGAACTAGTGCCCAACTCTGATGGATGCATATGCTCGCTCGCCTCCGTATCACGCGTGGCATACTCATAGCTTGAAAGACTGGAAGCAAAACTCTTTGTTGAGTTATAGATTTCTAAGTCAGACATTTGCTGTTCGGAATTCCAGTTTCTCGAAGCTCTTAAGATCTCTGATCCGCGTGAGCGATCCTCGAAAAACTTCTCTTCTAGGTATCGATAAGAACCAACTGAGCTCTCGTCCGACTCGAACATACACTCACTTGATGGCAGTGCACAATCAGAGCTCAGGCTTGAAGAAAATCTCACGTGAGTATTAGATGTGTCATAAATTGGGTAGAGTGCTGATGATAGCAAGTTTGGTACCGAAGGACCATGCGAGGTATTAAATTGTAGTTGTGAGGCACTAACGGCGTTGTAGTGGCTGAAGTCTAAGCGGACTTCACCGTTGCTGGCTTGAGCGTGTTCAAAACGCGCAAAGCCATTCGAAAAAGCCTCTGCTTCCGAAAAATACCGATGATGGTGCCCTGACAAATAATTTTTGTCAGCACCAACGACGACCACAGGAGAAATCGTGGAGCTTCCAACCGCGATTTGTCCAGTGTTAGTTCTCCTCGGATACCGTTTTTCATTGAAACGCTGCGTCACTGGCATCGCCAATCTAGAATTGTCGTCCTCAGTCGGTGTGCCAAGCTCAAAGTCATCACTGGCCTGATTTTTTCGTACAGCAATGATAACTGAAAGTACAGCTATTGCCGCAAAACCACCTATAAGGGTGAGTATTGCCAGTAATCGTGTATCAGTCCAGTCTGACTTAGACGATGAGCCGTTATTGGTATCAAGATGTTGTGTGGTTTCATTGTCTGAAGGTTGAATAGCTTGCTCTTCTATCATGGTGGTGATGTTGGTTTGCTTTGAATGGACTGTGCCGGCATCTGCTGCGATAATATTAATTCCATCTGAACCCTGAGACCCTGATCCCATAGATGGCAACGCTGAAGTAGCTGTCTCTGTCGCATTCGCTGTCGAGTTCGACACTAATTTGGAGATATTGAAGCTCGAAATCTTGCCAACGTTTATGGTACCGTTCGTTTTCAAACCTATATCATTTTTTGCCAGATTCTCCCCCGTTGTGCTTGTACCGCTACTGATACTTGAATTCACTGTCTTGAAACCCAAGCTTGTTTCTGCTCTTTCGTCACTATTATCCCCCACACTGTTGAATTCTACGCTTGCATTTGGAAAGTCAATCCATGATTCCGCAGAGGCATCACTGCCATTAATACTACCCATAGTAGAGCTGGTGTCGAATTCAACGTCTACGTCGAGTATATCATTGGAGCCGGAGCTTTCTTGTGAGAACGAAACGACAGAAGTACCGCAGAATTCGCGAGCAGATGTGTCAATACTCTCACATATTGAAGCGTCTTCAAGTCTTAGGCACACGATCCAAGCGATTGTCACTCCACCAACAGACTCAACTTTCTTCTCTCGACAAGAGCAATCACTACAAAGTATTGCATCACTCCCAGTAGCGTTTGCACATGTCACGTATCCATTTGGGAATATGCTGTTTGGGTTGGTAGAATTAACGATATAGAAGTTTTCAAGCGCATAGCTGCATGCTTTCAGCGTGAAGTCAGTCGATGGTACTGCAGCGCAAAGCTGCACGATTACTGCAGTGAAAAGGCATCGGAACTGCTGTTGCCGTAGTGTCATATTTGGATTTGTACGCTGATTAGTTCTAGACGACAACGCAAAGTGCTCGTAATTGAAGCACAACCCTTCGCTGTATTGAGAACTTGATCAACTGAAACCTTGCTCTTATACGGTCTCACGCTAGCCGTCCATGTGTGCTCTTGACACAGATGGATGATACGACTGTTGCCTGTCGCTGACCACACTATGTCACGATCAAAGTCGCTAGGATTCGAACAGTATACACTGTCGAGTTTTTCAGAGGAACTGATAGCTGATAGTTGATACGATCTTTTTTCTGGCTCTTTCCCTACTTGACATGCAGAGTGCATACTTTTAACGAATTGATAGAAAATGGCACGCCTAATAAATTGGCTTTTTCCGTTACAACTTTTCCTTTCACACTGACGTTAACAGATGGCTTTATTCTAGTACGTTCAGCGAGCTACGTGTGCCTCACGTAAGTCCATCGAAAATTGCGCAACTCGTCAATATGTTTCCCTTTTTTTCGAAATTTCAGTGACTGAGATACATACTTTCATGTCCTTGTTTGGAAAGAAAAAGTTTTGATTGATCTGTGTGCCTCAAAGCCAGGGATTGCTCAAATATATTTACTTGGATAGCACAACCATTAAGGCACTGCCGAAAATTAATGCATCTGCTTGTGAATTGACAATTTTATTCGAAAAGTGCTTCGAAGATGAGGACATGGATTAGTTTAGAGCTTTAACACGTATACTTTGGGGTTGGTGGACGCCATCCCAGAATAGCTAGGTAACAAGTACTGCTCCTATTTAAGAGCTTTGGAAGGGTAGTGGTATGGGAGGTGCACGGCGAGCCATAACATCCGACCGAGGTGGTTTAAACCAGGAACGTGACCAAGACTGCATTTCTCATGCACCAATAGCACATAAAATAGAAATCAAAATCAATACAAACTCATTGATGAAAACTTGTTGCGTTTATTCTGAACATACCAACCGACGCTTTATTGGATGCAAGTTGAACACATAAAGTACAATTATGGCGCTGGCAAATCGAGCTCTATTTATAGTGATATAAATAGCAGTGTATTTGCTGAAGTTATAGTCATACATAGAAAATAACCCGCCGTTCTGCCTCTCACATTTCAAGCCGCTTTATATATAGAACACCCTTTGGATAAGTGTGTACATTAGAACTGTCAAATAGTTGAGGTGCTAGTTTAAGTTAGGATGTTGTCTTTTGAGAAAAGCCTTGACGCTGCTACTTGCTGTGGTAGTTGCCAAGCACAAAAATAGCTAACAAAGCACACAACTAGCAAATAGCAAATTTAATGGCTACTTTATTCTCTGTAAGGAAAGTGGTGAGTTTTAAAAGTGCAGAAACCGAAATTGAAGTATGATTTTCCTGGCACCTTCGTGCACCGATATTCCTGGGCTGCTTTAAGATGTATGTCTTTGTAAATTTCTACAAGATGGTCGAAAAAAGATAACAAATATTACCTCTCTACAGAGCAATTGTGTCGTTGGAGTCTGACGAAAATCAACTGAGGAGAAGCCAAGTAGCAAAATACTGATCTGATTCAATTTGACACCCTACAATGTCGATTGTGTCGATTCAACATTAGTCTATTCCTACTGTTTAGTGGCGTTACTTTTTAGTATTTCGAATCGTTTCAGCCTCAAGACCATTTAAAGATTCTGTTCAAACTATATCATCCTTTAAAGGTGGAGGGCAATTGTCGTAGTGGTATTTCTCTCGCAAACCTTGACATCCCATACAAGCAGCCTTTCCCATTTAGCTGAATTAGAGCCCTAAAACCTGCAGTCGGTGATGCTGTGTATCGCGCGCAGAGAAATCTTTGACACAGCGACTCGCGTTCGCAACCTCACCGCGGATGGGTTCGTACGCCCCACCTAGGTGGAACCGAGGGCCTCAGTCTAGTCTGTTAAGTGTAACATATAATCTGGATTAATTCTCGTTCGGCGCACTAGCCTTTGAAATTTCTGTGCTTAGCTTTTAGCCAGACAATCGTGCAAGACCATAATACGGTACATACTCCGTACAGCGGGCAAATGACCAATTACTGACCACTAAGGTAAAGTAGCCTCTGACCACAACTTTATCGGAGCATTGATTTTTTGAGTGCGCAGCGCGTAAATGCCATGACAGCCCGGCGCGAGCGCTTCTCGCCTTTTCTATCCGTTTTAAATTCTAGATTTGAACCAGAAGATTTAATCTTGCGACGATAGACCAGACATACACTTGTTACCTATATTGAGCCAATTTGGACATTTTATCCGTATGCCAGATAGTGAGTAGCTGATTGTGATGATTCACAAAAGGAATAAGTGAAAGTAGTAATTTTGATTTATGTTGTGGCTTTGAAAAAAACAACAGGCTGGCCAACCAGTTGATCAGGAAATGATATGTGTTTTTCGCGTATTAGCTAAATTTTTAACCCAATAACGTCAGGAACGATTTGTGCCAGTACCTTTTTTGAAATGTAATTTTTGCTTTGAATTGATTGAGCTTATGCTCTGGCCTTTGTCGTCACTTGGACTTGAAGCGATGCTTGAAGTACAAAGGCATTTAGCAGGCCTTGTACGTAGAATGGATGAAATTAGGAGGCTGAATAATGATAATGGAGAGGTGCGTGGGGTGCGTGGCCTGCTAACTTCACGCAATGTAATATATGGGCTTATTACAACAATTAAGCAGAAACAATTTAGACTGGCTTCACATATAATAATCTTATGTTTATAGTAGTACTTGTTTATCAAGAGGTTCACGATTCGGTAAACCGGTAATGTCTGGAACATTGGCGAATTTACGGCCATCTTATCGCTGGAAAGACGCTTTGAAGAACTAATCGAAGCGGTCTTTTATTTCTAGAACATTGTCGAAAATTCGATGGGGGCTTGTAA